GTTAAAAAAGTTTCAAAAATCCAATAGATTTCGTTCCACTTCACAATTGTGTCCCACTTGTTGGTGATTCTTCACATAAAATAAAAAATTTATATCTTTGTTTGAAGCCTGAAATGTGGCAAAAGGTTGAAAAGTTCAAGGGGGCCGAATACTTTCGCAAGGCACTGTATATCGAACATTTATCAATCTTTTGTTAAAATTATATCGAGGAAAATTATATTGCGATAATTATCGTTATCGAATTATCTCCCAGCTCTAATTTGGAGTCACTAATGAAGCCTATACCTCAGTGCATTCTTGTTGAAACCAGTCTATATCAGCTAAATTAATTTAAATCTGGGTTCTCTGTATCAGCTTTATATCAGTTTATATCAGGTCTCTCATTTAAATGTCTCTGTAATTAGATTTTCCTAATATACAAATTAACCACAAAAAAGTGCAAAATGTATTGTAAACAGTCTTCACAGTGCTATGACTCTGCTCATCCTTTTATAGAAATTACTATGTTTGTAGCTCAACAAACCCTCTGCTTACTCATCCAAACAGTAACTGCTTTCCTTTTCTGCCAGACATACAGTATCAATTAAAAAATAGTGTATTCTAGCACTGACATTAAGACAAATGAAATGTAAAAGTATTTTTGTATATGAATGGTAATGTGTCTCTTAAATTATAAGCAAATAATAACAGCAATATTATTTCTTGTTTTTCTGAAGAGTTACAAGACCCTTACGTCTGACAAGGCCCGGTTCCACGATAGAGTTAATGAGATCTCCACCAGACCGAAGGACGAATGGACACCAAAGCCATGGCCACCCAAAAGTAAGCCCAACTGTTTATCCATCCCCTTTATGTGTGCCATTTGTCTGCCCTTAGCTTAATGTAGAGAGTTAAGTTCACAACATTTATTTCATACAAGGGCATATATAAAGTCTGTTATATTATGTAAAGGAAATTAAGATTTAGCATACTGTTTTAATTTTGTTCATCATGTTGACAATGCCCTGTGATGGACTGGCCTCCCCACTAGGGTGCATCCCATCTTGTACCTGTTGCTTGCCAGAATACGCTCCAACTTCTCCATGACATTGGATCATGTGTATTGGATAAATCAGTTAGAAATTGGGTGGATGGATGTTGATAATACACGTTTTACGATTTGCCATGACAAATATCATCTTCAAACACAAGACTGTCATTCATTTGACCTAGTACAAGAGCTCTTTTGGGCTAATAGTGGTTGTTAGACTTTATAGTTATCTCACTGGACCTAAAGGTGTGGTATTTTGGATACCTGGGGGAAAAGAGAGGCAGAGCTGTGAACTGATCACCAGTTCATGGTTCGTTGGATCTAAAGCATGGGAGTCGGGTAGAAACAGGAGATTAATGTGGGGTGCCTGGGAATGTTTGGTAGATGATAGCTCTTTCCCTGTGTGGAAAGCTTTTACATCCCATTTCCATTTTTTTTTTTAAATCCCAGGTCTTTGTGGTCTTTGAAATTTGAAATTGAGGAGATTGAGTCTAAGTTGATGTGTCGTGTTCATCTCAGTCATTGAGGCAGCTACGTAGTTCTATGGCTTAGAGGCATTTGTTTCCCCTTGTGGTGAAAGCTCGAGGACCCAGGGGTGGACACCAGCCTTGAGGGGATCTGTAGAAGAAGACCCCCTAAGCAGTGCAAATCGTCTTCTGATTTGGAGGCAATGTATCATTTAGCTAAGAATGTTTAGGAAGGGTTTAGAGAGAGAAGAATAATGGACCAGCTCTTTGAATGTTTTGCATTTATCAGTATGGTATGGTGAAGGTAATTAAATTTTCTTAGTGACATTGTCATCAAAGAACTGGTGATTATGTGGCTCTTGGATGAGCAAATAGGTGTACTATGGAAAGACAGTGCAGTTGGTTGATGAGTGCTGAAAACTTACTATGTCTGTGAATCGCCTGCAAAAACAAAGCCCGCCTCTAGATCACACCTGTTCAGTCCCCTCACTGTGTCTGAGCTCCTTTCAATGGATGTCAGAGACAGTATCTGTGAATCTCTTCAATCTGGTGGTGTTCCTTTACTGTTAAGCTTGATGCTAATCTGCTAAACAATTAGGACCCAATTTCTAATCTTCCGTTTCTGTGGAAGATTCTGGAACATGTGGTAACTAATACAATTAAACCTTTCTAATCTTACAGGCTCTACACACCCTTTCATCCTAGCTTTAGACCTACAGTATGATCGATACTGAGTCTTTTCATTTTCAGCTCCCTGGTGATTGCTTGACTGCTGCAGCACACTTGATATTCTTATTCATTTGGATTTTAACACAGCATCGGATACAGTTAACAATCCCTGTTTGCATCTCTACACAGCCATTGAGGTGCAGTTGTCATATCTGGTTATCCGGCTGCCATAAATGTCATTAAAAAAAAGTACTTTTTCAGTAGAGATGAATTATGAAAAACACATATATGCAATTTATACATTTATTGTATATATTTAATTTAATGTAAAAAATATCCAAATCTATTTTAAGTTTTGTTAAAGTTGGTGTTCATACAGCTGTTCCTACAAGAAATTAGTTTACAAGGACCAATTCCCAGGTACAAGGGCTGTTGACATTCGGCTTTAGTTAATGAAGCAGTGTGTCACAGTGAGGGTGGAGAGCTAAATGTATTAATTCGGATAAATGAGATTAAGCAATACAAATCAGGCTGTCAGCAATGATTTTCTGCTCTGTGCCTTGCATAAATAATGAACTCAAAAGGATGAAGCAGATGCTTGCTTGGGGCCAAATTCCTAGTGATCATCAGTGTCTAAAGTACCAGTAGTTCCAGAACAACTATGAAAAACACCCTTGTGATTTTGAAACCACTGGCTGAAACAACAGAGCAAGGAATATCTTGGGTTGCTTTTCCCAGGTTTTGCGTGGCAACATCATCTGACACGTCCTATTGAAAGGGTGAAGTTATGGGGTAGTAGTTGAAGAGTTTGTCAGGAAATTAGCTACTGTAAAATGAGAAACTACCAAAGTTCTTATAATATAATCAATACATCGTGTCGTGCACCAAAATCATACATAAACATTTACAAAATTATTTGCATTGTTTGCATTCTGATGTGTAAAGAAATAACATTTTGGTGTACAGTGTGTTTCTGAGCCCTTAGCTACAATCATATACAATACATTGTCTAAATTAACTACCAGTGTTTTGTTTTTTCATTTGTCTTTTTTTGACATTTTAATACATTTATTTAGTCCTAGCTGCTGGGGTAAAGGTAGTTATACTGTGTTTAACAACGAGAGTGGACATGAGATTACATTTTTGAACATTTATGATAAACGGACATCTTTTAACACTAGTAATTAGTGACACAAAGTAACTCGGAGACTGCTTTTAAAGCCCCAAAGCTGTTTTTTTAACCTGAACCTTTGAGTGTGAACAGACAGACACAGCATCACATTGGATTATACAATTCTGAACCGCAGTTTGTTTGTTTTTTGCTTTACACAGGATTTCCATTTTAAAGGCCAATAGAGAAGCCAGAAATTTCAAGCATTCTTTGTTTTGTTTTTTTTTGCAATGCCCACTTCACACTTCTTGTCACGAGCGTAATGTTCATAGATCTAAGATGCCGAAGACCTCCATGATTTAGCTCTTTAAATGTCTAGTTTCCAAGGATTAAACTAAACTGAGAAGAATGTGGGTAGGATCTGTCTTGGTTAATCCGATGTTGTCAAGAGTTGTATGTCAAAAACAGTCACTGTGAATTAGTAATTGTTACAGATAACTACGTGTACATAAGAGAAGAACAGCATGGAGATGGCATTTGCATTCTCTGCCCTGTAGCTAATAGGATTTTGTTCACCTGACAGCATTCAGCTTTGTCGAAGCTCAGCTTGATACTGATACTGCAGATCAGCTCTTCTACTCTCTTACAGGCTAACTGATATAAATAGAGCCACAGTGGGCTAGAAGCCTGTTACAGCATGGTTAGTTTAACATAGCCTAGCTCCTCAGACTTAACAGACGTCTTGACCCAGTGTTTGGTTGCTTCCTTATGAATAAATCTGCTCATGAGACTATTGCACTTCTTCCCACTGCGCAAGTACAGTATGTGATCATCAGGTCAGTCCCCAGTGATCTGAAACCCCCCTCAGTCAAGCCATTGAAATTGTCAATGTGAAAATAAACTTATGGGTTGACATTTTCTCATTTTTCTAATGGAAGAAATAGTCAAGCTTCTCTGTCCATTATCTCATGTTAACCACAAAAATGAGGCAGATTTTTTTTCTCAAGAAAGTCAAATGTGTAGAGCCCAAAATCCCAGGGGCTGTGTTGATAAGCTCTGTACTCTGGTTCATTTTTACTGAAATACAAGCTCATTGGTGATTTAAAAAAAATTCAACCAGCATATAAAATTATAGAAATATTTGCATGTTAGTACAATTGCAATGGATTTGCAGTAATATGAAAGCATGGCATTAAAAATAACTTCTCTTCTTTTTATGTCTTTCAGAAGATGATGGTGAGTACCAGTTTACTGTTTTGCTCACCAACATTAACATAATTCTGCATGTTTTAACTCTAGTCACTACCAACTTTAGTGTTTAGTAATGGGGATTTTTAGATGAATTCTGTAGATATGCTGAGTTATATAATACATCTTTGACCTGCATAACTCAGGGCAGCCCTATTCTGATTAATGAATAACTTTTCATTTTAACTATTTACTGTTTTATTTAAGTTTTTGTCAACCGTATAAAAGCTTATATACCCGTGTTTTTCACACTGAAAATAAGTGAATGATCTCATGAAACTCAGATCAGTGTGCTAAGCCATTTAGAGCTAATACAAATCTAGTGCCAGGTATCTGTGATGTACTGTAAACCCATTCTCTCAGTAGACACAAAACATTCTCATTTATCTGATCTTACTCAACTATGAATGTTATGACTCTCTTAAAGTTTATAGACCGAAAGAAAGCAGCAAGAGGAATCCAATTTTAAAAAAAAAATGTTACAGAAAGGGATAGCTGTTTGTGAGGCAAAAGCTATAAAGAGCACTTAGAGACTAATTTTATTTCAGTGCTGTGTTCTTGGCTCATAGTCACAATATCACAGTTCACCAAATGTAACATAGGGATAGTGGTAGTGACACACAGCTCAAGTGATTTTTGTGGTATTTTTTTTTTTTTCCATTTAGTCTTCTATGGCAAGACAGCAACCTAGTCTTGAAATAGAATTCGGAGATGGTTGAAGTATGACCAAAAGCCCTCTTAATCTCTAAGGCTGTTATCACGAACTTCAGACAAACACTGTTTTAGAAACGCAGGAGCTGAGGGAACTGAGTTGGACTTAGTTTGTAAGTGCTTCTGAAAGCTATCACGGCCCTCATGCCCATGTACTTTATCCAGACTGTTCATTAATCAGAAAGGGGTTTGACCCTAAAGCTGCTGCCTTGGAAAAAGCTCATAATAATGACAGCACTGCTTGTCGTACCCTACTTTCATACTGTGTTTCCCTTTCTTCTTACCTGTGTCAGTCAACTGTTCTACACGTAGGCCCACCCCCTATATAACTTGTGTATTAATAGAAACCGCACTCTCAGTCATTTTTACTAATAGGTTTTTTTATTTTTATTTTTATTTTATTAGTGACTAAATTCTTATAAAACTATAACTGCAAATGCATAAACAGTATGGTACAGCTAACCACTCCTAATAATAAGCATGCCAAGTGAAATACATATGAAGTATTTGAATACTTTAGTAAAATAAATTTGTATTTTTCATATATTCCTTTATCATTTCTCTCATTTCCTAATTCTTGCTCTATTTACACTTTCCAGAGTAAAATCCAGAGACTTCAAGCTTTCCTAGACTTGAGGGAGATTAAAAATAAACCTTTGGATGAAGGGACTCCTCTTCTTGAATGTATTCATCACTCTGTAAAGTTAATCTCGAGTTTCCTTAGCCATCATACTTTTCAGTTCAAGGTATTATTTACCAATTAAAAATGTACAGAACTGTGTGCGCATTGTATTTATTGCTGTAAAAGAACTGTTGAACGTTACTTTTTATTTATAATAAAGCAAAACTTCGAACCCTCCTGCAGTATGTTGTGAAAATGTCAAGGTATTGATAGTAAACAAGTGTTTCTGTTTCCTGTTCCGTTCCCTGACTATCCTGTTTTTCCTTTTATTTCCTGCTCTGGGTTTCCAAATGCCTTTTGCTTTCAAACTGCATGCTGATGTAGAATTTTGTTGGGGTCACTGTGCTTATCAGATCACTGTGCAATCAGAAAGGTGTGGAAGTGGCTTACTCTAATTTTGCTGTGTATTTCTTTTAGTTCTGCTTTTTGGGCTTACATTGCATGGGTTTGTAAATTTCATGCTAACTTTATATTCCAATACATCAGTACAATTACAGTACATGTATTCATGGTTGTAAAAAATGCAGAACAGAGACAAAATTACTGGACCTATTTACAGGTAGGATAAATTCACTTTCTTCAGTTAATGTATAACGCTTTAAGTCTGAAATAGTGACAGATATATATAATAATAATCTCTCTAGTAATGCTTTGAATCCTATCACGCTTTTAGTTTCTGTCGAAAGGAATATTAATCTTAATCACAGACTCCAAGTTATTTTCTCATTTGATGTACAGACTTTTATTCATAATTGTGTTGTTAAATTTTCAATGTAGTCTATGAAACAACTCTTCGCAATTAAGTGAGTAGTGTTTTCTTCAACCTTACCTTGGACAAACAGAAGTCCAGCATTGTAGGATTTTTGCATAGTATTAAAATGTGTGCGAAGAGAAAATTTATTTTTTCTCTTTTGGGGAAATCTACAAATAACGGAGATGAAGTAGTCTACGTATATACAGTATTACAAGAATTAAAAAACAAACCTTTTTGTTTAAATCTTGTACCTGTATTGACACCATTCATCTCCCAGTAATGCTTTATTTAACTTATAACATTTTATAAATATTTTGGTTAAATTGCACAAGGATGTAAATATTTATACAGCTTCAGATTCATATAGAGTGATATTAATAATTGACAATCCCTTGATTTACATTAGTTAATTCTGGTCTTTACTATGTTTTGCAAGGGAAGATGAATGTTGATTAAACCTAGGAGAGATATTGGGCCATATTCATCCATCTTTTCAATAGAAAATACAGACTACTGAGACAAGAATAGGTAAAAGATACTTATAATTTTTAGCAAGACTTCTATATCTGTATCCTACAGTAGGTAGGCAGCAATGTTGCTGAAGCTTATACTCCTCTTTCTCAGGAAACAGCTGGATGAGCTGTTTCAATTACTTATCAATTACTGTAGCTGCTAACATCCATAAGGATTTAGATGGACTGAGTGACCTCCTCTTGCTTGTTAGTATTCCTGTGCTTTCAAATTTTTCTTTGTTGTTATCATATGCGACATAACTGTCTGTTAATTCAGCAAAATGGCATCATTTAATAAATAAGGCCCAATTCTTATTTAACAAGCTATATAATGTACCTGATAACTTTGTAAATAATACAGTTGGATGGTGGCAATATATGATAGATGCAACTGTATAGGACTTTATTTAAATCATCACTTGTCCTCTAAAATGTGTGTATAGGCCGTTTATAATAGCCTTGTAATTTGTTAACAAGCTACTCTAACAGGCTAATTTCTTTCTGTTCCATTTGAACAGCCTAGGTAGGCCTGCTCAGTTCTGCCTACAAGCTCAGTAAACCTAAACTTCTAAAGCTTCAGCCATGTGCAGCAGAGGCAGGTAGGAGAGCTGTGATGCATGTGAAACATGGCTGGTTAATTTGATTGTTGTTTTGTTAAAAACAAAAGCAGAGCCTGAGGAGGCAGAGGAAGCAGAACCTGCAGGAGAGCCTGCGGTGGAGACTGCCTCGGAGGCCACCGGAGCCGAGGCTGTAGAGGAAGCCGTGGAGGAGACTGCCAAGGAGGCAGTGTTGGAGGCCTCTGAGAGCACCAGAGCCGAGGCTGTGGAGGCAGCAGTGGAGAAGACAGCCACCGAGCCAGCACCGGAGGCTGCAGAGGGCACCACAGCCGAGGCTGTGGAGGAGGCTGTGGCTGAGGCCTTGGAGGAGCCCCCAAGTGAGGCCGTGACCTCTGAGGATGAGGCAAATGGTACCGCCCCGGCTGAGGAGGATGTCTCTCATGCTTCCCCTCCTGTGGAGGAGACGTCTCCAGAACCTCCAGCCACACAGGCGTCTGAGGCCCAAGGTTAAAGAGAAATGTCCATTTTCATACTTCCTGACAGAGCACATAGCCCAGCCCGGGTTACAGAAGTTGCAGAAATTTGAAAACAATTGTTGGAATGATGGTATAAAGCTATTTAACTTGGTTTGGCTGTGAGCAATCTAACAAAAACACTTACAAATAGGTCTCTGTATAAATATTTATTTAATCTTTAAGTAGGTGGTCCTATGGTGATTAAAAATCCTTTTTAGTGTAACCAGGTTATAGGCAAATTAAGCCCATGTTGAGTGATTTAACTAAAAACACCAGTCAGATGCTATTCAGAAAAAGTAGTTAAAATAAGCTATGAAAATGTCATTTAAACATTGCCTACCATCAAGAATATTAAAACACAGATTCTAAAATGAGATGTGATTTTTAAAATAAAGTGTTTTGAAAGAATGCTCCAGATGATTATCCCAGTTAGTCAGGTGGATAAAAAAACATTTGAACTCACTGTGCAAATAAACATTAAGCAACATTTTAATAAAAAGAATTGAAATATTTCTACGAATTTTGTGCTGCTGGGTCTACAGCCTGGTAAATACAATTGATTTTATACAGCTCTTGTTGGGAAAGGTAAATAATACCTGCATGAGAATTTCCTACATTTGCAAGACACCCTACACATCAGTTTTTAACCCAGTTCTCTGCTACTGTAATTCAGAATAGAGTATACAATGAAATGTTAGTTTACCTGCCTTACACAAAAGTCAGTTCTTTGCCGTATTTTGCATTACATTGATTAAAAACAGCCGTTGCTATTTATTTGTAGCCATCACCACTTATTAATGAGCTAATCAACGTTGCCAAACACATCAGCAGTGTAAAATTTGCTCGGCCTTAAGAAGTTGTTCTTATCAGCTAGTTATCACTGTGAAAGTCCAGTACATTAAGAATGAGGTTAAAGCCATGATTGATGTGAAAGAGTCTTAAAATTAAACCAAACAAAGTATTCTGTATTAGAAGTTCCTGTAAGTGCCCAACAGTGCAATTGGCACTCTGGTAAATTCCACACCACAATGATGAGTCTGTGCACAGGTGTCACCCTTATATACTGTATAGTCCTAAAGTATTCACTTCTCATCCAATGATGTCCTGTTTTACTTAATTACAAATTATATATACACATTTCTTAAAGTGAATATTTATAATAAAAACTTGAATGCTCAAATTGAACACTGCTACGGGTATACTGTAAGTTTTCAGTTCTATGCACAAAATTACTTCTAAACAGCGCGTGATTAGTTGAGTGGCCTCTGTCTGTGAGCAGTGATAGTTGTTTACATGATTTCAGGATAAGATCCCTCAGTCATGTTATGAATTTCAAACAAAGATTTGACCAAGAAACCTTTCAAATCAATTTATGGATAAAGTTGTTTCAAAGACACTGAATAAACTCTCTGTGCAACGTGAAGTCATTAAGACGTGGAAGGTGTGTCATACTACTTGTACACTGCTTAGATCAGGCTGTCCCTCCAAACTGAGCAGCCCAGCAAAGAAGGAAACTGGTTGGGGACGCTGCAGTAAAGTTAATAGTGATTTTGAAAATGCTACAGGGTTCAGAAATAGGACAATATGTCAAAGTGAGTCAAAGTTGGACAGTTTGACAGAATGGTGATAAGGACATCATTATTGAGATACATATATTTTGATAGTATAATAGAATTAATGATTATATGTTTGGTAGTCCTTTAAATAACAGTATCAAATTGCTTTTAAGAGGAAAACATGCTCCTAATATCTACATGACTCTAAAAAGTAATGATGGGATTTTTACTTTTGTTTCTCATTAATGTAATAAAGAGTATTTTTGTGGGGGTCTTCACATCCCCTTTAGACCTACTTTGTTCCTTTATGATGTGAACATGAAGGTATCCATTCTCTGGTGCTCTACTATGCTTATTTCAGCTCAGCCTGTAGCCTAATTCTTTGTGAAGTATGTATGTGTACTATAACATTTATTAGTTATAGTGTCATCTTTCACTTTCTTTTTGATGTTTTGATTCTCTGGCACTGACAAAAAAGGCTTTGTAAAATTCATCCTTCAATGTTTCTGGTTAGCTTGTTGAGTCTTTTGAAGAGCCTGACGTTTGGAATATAACACTGTAAACACATTAGCATTCTCTACCTCCTTCTAATACTTCCAATCAGTAACAAATGTTGTTTCAGAGTTAGAAGCTGAAAGCTTAGTCTGTCTGCTTCCAGTGTTTTTGTTCTGTAAATCTGGTCCAAAAAAGTCACTGTGTGCATTCCTACAAAAAAACAAGATGCTAGAACAAAAACATTTTTTTCATAAAAATTGAAGAAAAAAAAATGGGTCTCATGATGTGTATTGTGAGTACTGAGGGGAATGAAAAAAGCCTCCTCAAAATAAGGAATTCGGTTTCCTTTAAAATCTTTAGCACCTTCCTGGATGCTATAGAAATTTGCTTTTAGAAAATTGTCAAATGTTCCTCACAGTGGAAGGTGTTTATAAGGAACACAATGTAATATTTGAGTAATGCCATTCATACATGTCTCAGTTCTCGTTAATAATAATCCATTTAAATTGCTTTAGGATGAAATAGGGGAAAATCCCCCCAAAAGTTCCTGTGATCTTCATTATCATCAGAAAACTGCAAAAGATGACAGTTTTGACTCACGGTTTCAAGACTTTTTGTGTTGTTCTATGATGAAAGTGCAAGCATGCATTCTGATCCTTCCTTGCTCTTGTTTGTTTCAGTGTGCTCAGGCACTGAGCAAACCATGGTAACACTTGAAACCACACAGCAAAGGCTCATGCAAGCATGATTCTCTGTGCATTTTGTATGGGATTGAAGATGGAGCTGTGGCCTAAAGTCTATTTGATCTATTAGCTGTTAATTATCAAATTTAAAACTAGAAACTATAACATTTGCCTTGTTACCATTTTCCAAACAATGTTTCCTGATCTCCTCTTCTGTTAATGTATGTTGATCAGTGGAAATATGACAAATATGTTCAGTGTGTCTCATTTTCCAGACTTTCTGTCACAAACCAGCTATTACTGTTAACTAATTGACTGTTACCATTCACCACATTAAACCATTCCCTTCCAGTGCATGGCTCCATTTGTATTGCTTAATCTGAAAGAGAATCATTCTTCTTGACATACGTCTGAAGCTCTTGATATTTCTGTGTTATGGATTAATAACAACAGGCTTGGGTTCTAGAAGTTATGTAAATGTCGAATTTCCTCCTACTTTACTTATTAGCAAAGCTTTAACCCCCAGAACAACTTGCAACCCTTCTCTCCCTCCGTAACCCTCCTTTTTGTGAACTTTGTCTGTGGTTATGCCATTGGTGTGTTTATTGCATGTGGTGTAGAGGTCCTGGCATATTTCCTTCCTCACTTTAAACTGTGCTTTCGCTACGTGTTGAGCATAGAACAAGAAGGAGAGCAGGGGTTTAGATGGTCTTTGGGCTTATTATAGAAGGAGTCACTATGGATCTTTTTTATTGTAGGTATTGCACATCAATGTTCAGTACTCAAAAAGCCAAGTGACCTTATATATTATATATATACAGTATGACATGGTATGTATATATATTATATATAATATAAGGTTTGTCTGTTATTACATATAATACTTTGTTTTATTTTAAAATTGATCATTTTAAATTGTAGGAAATAGGAGTAAAAGTGAAGCCACGTTGTCAGTAATGTTTTAACTCAACAATACAGAATTAATGTAAGGAAAACATACAGGCTCATTTTTGGATATAATCGAAAAATGTCCTAATATTTGGAATGGGAGGCTCTGCTCTTTGAGGACAAGCAACATGTGAGATATGCAACAAGTAGAGCTGACCCCCACTCTGAAGTGTAAAAAAACATATTTGGTATGTGAAGCTTTCTAAAAGTAGTCCAAACACTCTGGGTTTTTGTTTTCTTTTTACTTTTAGGTTTAAAATTGACTAACTTTTCTTTGCCACTCACATATTGGCATAATTCTCTCACTATAACCCCATGTAGTATAAGCCCCTTCAGCATTACTCCTTTGAGGTTCTCTTCTATACTGGGAAACTTAGAAATGTTTCATTTTGATTTCTTTCTAAAATGCTTTCTATTTATGAGAAACATCCACATATGGGTTGTACAAGGGAACATACTCCATTCTTTTAATTTTATTGCTTCTTACATTACAGTTCTGTATATTGACATAATTTTCGGGGACCTTGGGCCTTCATTTTAGGTACAACAATCTTGCTTTATGATGACATGAGAAAAATGTTCTTAAATTTTTATTTTCTGTTCTAAGAAACTTACACATGGTATTTTTGAACGGACTATAAAAGTGAATAAGATTGTCAGAAATAACTGACCTAATCATCAACTATTGATTTTTTTAAAGAACTTCTAGTGTTCTAGAAATGTATAGTGGCCTGATGAACATTACATGAGCTGATTCACATTGATGTACAGTCTGCAAAAATATCAACTGAAAGAATTTAGTTGTTAGCTTGTAAATTCATCAGTTCTAAGATTCTTTAAGAGTATTAAGGTTCTTCAAAACATGAATTTACATTTACCTTTTATTTTTAGGTCTGAATGGCCAGTTCAGGTATTTAAACATAGGCCCATTCTTATTAGTTCTAAGTCTCATAGAATGTATATTTTTTGTTTTATAGTTTTAAACATGTCAAATTATTCAGTATTCAAATTTTGGAAGATATATTTGACATGAAAAGCTCACTCAGTGTTCATTGGAGTATGAGGCATTGAATGTCTCTTTGGTATTGTTAATTACAACAGGGTACTTTTTTTAAAGCTACAAATCGTGAGAGATGGTTTGGAATTTTATTAATAGTACTTGCTGGCATTGTCTGATTTATAAGATGGCATTCATTTTGCTCTTCTTAATAATCTCCCCATATAATGAATCAAATTTAATGTACCAAGTAAAAGACAGTTGCAGCTTTCACAAAGCTCAGCCTTTTTTCCAGTTGTGCTGTCCATTATGATTTTAAAAATGTTAAACCTCACTTATGTCATTTACAAGCCCAAAATGCATACATAGGATTTTGTTCACTCATTTCTACATACCGTCTTTGCTTCTGAACCACGCTAGAGACATCACCTTTTAAAATCAATCTGCAGATTAACTTTTGGAGGTAAAAGCTTATCTTACTTCATTCTCCAGGTCGATTTGATGTGGATAAATGTTTTATTATGTAAAAGAATCAGCTTCTAACATTGGTGCTCCTTCTCATATTTTTTTTTTATTCTGTGAGGATGTTTGGAAATCAAGCAAATATTACATTTCCTTTCCTCCAGCCATTTAATTTCCTTAGGAGGTTCAAAAAGAGATAAAAAAACAACTCCCCCGAATGTCTCCATACAAGTAGTAGCAGTACCCAGATGTGAAACTTAAAGAATAGTCAAACAAATTCTTTACCTGTAGCAGGTTAGCACTGTCTTTAGGTATATTAGATTTGTAAATTAATTGCTGAACTGGTCTTTTATTCCTTCATGAAGTAGTCTGAAGAGAGTAGACTGGAAAATGGGAACTACCTGAAGAAGGCTCCACAGCTGAAATATTGTTTTTTTTATTTTATTTTCAGCCTTAGACTAATTTCTGCTTGTTCCTTATCTACCTTTACTCCCACTTGAAGAAGATTGTCTACATTTATTGAAAGCAACATTCTCTCTCTTTCTTTCTGACACCCCAAAATTAGACTGGCACTGTTTCCTCTTCTCCAGTCAGCAGAATCCTAATCCCGTACCCTGTGTCCTTCATAGTATCCTCCCTTCTCATCAACACATAACTTCCAAATACTCTGCCTTTTCTTTCTTTCTCATATCAAACAATTACAAGACACACAAAGAAGGGTCTAGAATCATGAGGTGTCTCATTAGCTCCACTGCAATCTGGAATTTTACAGTGAATCCTCTATGAACCCAGGTCAAGAGGGTGTGTGTACTTGTGCATAAAGAGCAGGACAGGACAGACATCTTGAGTTGCTCTGGGGTATTGTAGTGAGTGTTGTGGGGTTACCTTGCCTCTAGTATATCTTCACTCTCAGCCTTCATGGACGATGGGTATGTGAAAACTTGCAGCTCTCAGAGAAAGAGCAGTTTTGGTTATTTCCTTGCAGAATATTATTTTTCCTGACATAAGGTATATATGATCTTAAAGATTAGATTTAAGGTGGAGTGCAATCATCATGTAGATTTCTAACAGATTGTTGTACAGTATTTTAATTGGGCAAAATGTCCATATCATGGATCTCCAAATTAATTTTATGTGAGTAATCTAATTTTAATGTCGACTATTGAGCAAATCATCTGTTTATAAATGTATAGACATAAAAGAATCCTGAATAAAGTTCTGTATGTTTTTTTAATACCTATTATTATGCTCATATTATGATCATCATCATATTATGCTGAGCTGTAGACATCAAACCACAGTGCTCACATTAAAAGATGAACAGTCAAATTGAACCTGAGAGTAGACAGTCACTCTTTACAAGAGAAACTATCACTTCTCTTCATGTTACCCATTTTTTGGAATGATAAAGCAGGATATTTATTTTTTAAAACATCTTTCAAGCAGCAAAGACAACCATTGATCAGAAGTTCCAGAGGTTTTTCCTGTTCAATTAAAAGGAGGAAAATTGAAGGTTCATGAAAATAGTGTAAAAATAATTCACCACCTTTTTCATTCTCTGTTTCAGTGCCAGTGCCTGAGCTGTCTAATGCCATGAAAACTGTATCAGCTGTCCCTATGGCAGAGGCAGTAGACATAGCAGCAGCTTCTGTAGGAGACATAAGCAGTGCAGCACCTGCCCTAGTGCAAGATGCAACTCAGCAAGTAGTGACACTAATACAAATGTCAACACAGTCTCCTGATCAGAATGTGGACACTTCTCCAGTAACAAAAGTGGTTTCTCAAGAGAAGCCCAATGTAATAACACTGGTTTCAGTGAGTGATAAGGAAGCCTCATCTCAAAGTCCCTCGGCAGTAGCTGTGGAGGAGCTGGACAACACTACAGCAGACATGGGAACAGTGGAAACAGCCATAACTCCAGAAGCTCAAACAGAAAACAAGTCATCTGTGATTCAAGACGCTGATAAAGCAGGCATCCCTTCAGAGGAAACAACAGTTTCTCCTGTGGAGGACACTTCAGACGTTTCAATAGAGAGGGACACGGTTCTCACTTTAGAATTTACAGCAGCTACTTCAGATGAGGATGTAACAGAAGTTCTAATTGAGAGCACACACATTTGTCCAGAAGAAGATTCAGTGGTCACTCCAGTAGAAGAGACAACAACCGCTACAGTCAAAGAGCAAGCAGGCATTACACAAGACAGTACAGTAATCAATGCAGACGTTACTGGTGAAGTAACAGCTGTCACCCCAGGAGAGGTATTAACAGGTGCAGCACAGGAAGAGGTTGTAGTAAATTTGCTGGGTGCGTCTGAAGAGGCTCAAGAAGAGAAGGAGGAAGCCAGTGCAGAAGAAAAAATGTCACATACACCAAGAGAAGTCTCTGTGTTTGCTCTAGTAGCTCCAGCTGAGGAGGAGGCAGTGACTCCAGCTGAAGCTGATCCTGTGGGAGTAACAGCCAAGCCTCTAGCAGTGGAGACAGGGGAGGAAAGCAAAGGGAAACTAGCAAAGGACGTGCCAGTGGGTTTTGTGGAGCAAGGAGAGGACGCAATAGAGGAGGCAGAAGCTGAGTCAGCAAAGCGCACAGCACTCCCTGTTATTCTGGAGGCAGAAGTGATACCAGTGGCAGGGGGAGTGATCGAGACAGAAGCGATCCCAGCAGCAGGGTGTGCTGTCCCCTCAGCACAGGAAGCAGCAGTGGCTCAGGTGATGGAGAGAGTGGGGGAAATTGTGACCCTGGATATTGAAGCAGGTGGAGTCTCAGAACAGGAAGCAGTGGAGTCAGAACACAAGGCTGACGAAATGACATCCATTCCAGTTGAGACTGAGGTTGTGGAGAAGACAGTGTCTCCAGTGGGGGTTGGGGTGAAAACAGAAGTGACTTCTGAGGCAAAGGCTGTGGATAATTCTGCTACTCTTGAGGAGAAGAGTCCACTTGCTGGGGAGATTATCCTAAATCATCTTGAGGCAGAAGAAACCTTTCAAGAAGACAAAGGTAGACAGCAGTAGATTGGAAGGGGTTTATTAAATCTCACAAGCCACTTGTTGTTACACCCAGAATGTAAAGAAATGGTTTGCTACTTAAAACATAAAAGTATTATATTAAATGAGTTGAAAAAGAAAAATGTGCACACTCATCAAACTAATATGGGGTTATATAAGTTCAGTAAGTATAAAATAATTTTGTTTTAATTGAACCCTTGTATAGTGCTTTTTCATAGTTTATCCTGGAAATAATACACAATCAAAGAATAACTTGGTGCTTTATGCCCGGTGTTGCAATTAAATATAGAAATCTAAATTGACTATATATTTCAAAATATTTTACCAGAAAATATACTTTAATTAGACAATTGTATATGGAGGTATAACAGAACTGCTGCCTTGTAGCTCTTGGCCCCTGGGTTTGATTCTGGCCCTAGGCACCTTCTATGTGGGGTTTACATGTTCTCCTCATGTCTGCTTAGGATTTCTCCAGGTACAGCAGTTTCAGACCATAGTTTAAAGACATGCTGTCCTGGTTAATTTGTGTCACTGGGTGGCTTGGATGTGTGTTTGTGTCCTGTGATGGACCGTGTCCTGTCCAGGGTGTTGTCCTGCCTAGTTATTGAAAATGACAGTGTATACCTCATGTATTATAGGCAATTTTTTCAGGTGTTTCCCTTTCCCTAATGTTTGGTTTTCATTTTAACAGAGTCAAGTGGGGCAGATAAGAGCACAGGCATTTAACCACCTGTTGAAAGGTAAGATAATAACCTATATTGAAATCTACACCACGAATAAGCGTTCACTTAAAACTCTTAGATGTGGAAACGATGAATACTGATGTGATATTTCATTAGAATGTATTATTTGGATTTAACTATACCGTGTTTTTAGTAGTTTCCGCTAGGTGGCAGTATTTTGCGTAGTTCTCTATTTCACCGATATTCACATTCACACATTATTGTTTACTGTAGTTCCAACAGGTCCAGGATTCTATTCTCAGCTCTGCTTCTACTCTGGTTCACTGATATTCACTCCTGGTGATGTAGGGCTGCAGCTCAATTTCTAATCGGGAATGAGTAAAGAACTGAAAATAATGGTAACACAGACTAATTAAGTGAACAAATTATTCTGATAAATTCATTAAGTGTTCAGAGTGGGATAGAAACCAAAAGGCACATAAGCCCTCCAGGAACAGGAATGAACATCAGAGGTTTCATTGTTGAGGATGTCAGATTAAAAGACACTCTTGGGGAAAAAAATCTCTATTAAATAGTTTTTTCTGTTTTCTTCTTCTTCTTCTTCTTCTTCTTCTTCTTCTTCTTCTTCTTCTTCTTCTTCTTCTTTTTCACAGCCTTAGTCCCAGACTGTCCTGGGGTCAGCTGCTTTGGTTGCTCTTTTCCACTTGTCTCTGCCGAGCACATCTTCCTCACTCACTTCACATACCTCCATATCTTTTCTCACACAATCTATCCATCTCTTTCTAGGCCTGCCTCTTCCTCTGTTACCTTCCACCTCAAATTCCATTACCCTCTTTGTTACTTCCTCAATGTCCCTCCTCATGATATGTCCATACCACCGTAACCTCGCCTCTCGCATCTTCTCAACCACATCCACCACCCTACATCATCTACGGATTTCTTCATTTCTTATCTTATCCTTCATTGAAATCTGCAGAATCCATCTCAACATCCTTTTTTTATTATTAAGTGATAATCAGTTTGTGAGTCTAGAAAAATATTCACCACACCCTGCCAATTCTCTCCAGTTAAAAACTGTTCTTTGAGTGCCAATTAGTACTGTATGTACCAACGATTGCTGTAGTTCTAGTGGCTAATCATCTTTAAGTAGTATCTGATTATGATTAGATTATGATGGGGTTTATTTGATGTCTTATTTTTCTTTTCCACAGCAGAGAAGAGGAGAGATGGTGAGGAATTCCATGGAGAACTACAAGGAAAAGGAAGTGCCTTGCCTATTCTCCCTTCTCACACAGTGTCCTGGTTTAAGCAGAGGACAGTGTCTGCTTTACTGATCATTTTCCAGTGCTTGCCCTTGCTTTTCATTCCATGTAAACAACTTGTGAGGTACAAACCACAGAACTGCTGTTTAATCCATTTTAATACAATCCATTTTTGGGGGTCATGTTTAAACAAACATTTAAGATATTTTGCACAAAAACAAAGCAAAAAAAAAGTTGTAAACGTTTTCTCTAAAAAGGGGGGTTTGGAGAACACACAGTTTATTTTGAAAAAATGTAAAGCTGTGCTGAAATCTCTGGAGTATGAAGCAAGAATTAATCATGAGACAGAGATGTAGGTAAGCCAGATTTTGCAGTACTCTGACTTTTACCAGATTTGCCCATAACAATAGGGGCATTAGGGTTGGTCAATACTTCATATTTCTGACACGGTACTTAAATTCATTAGAACAGTTTGCCTCATGACTCATTTGAAAGCTATTTCCTTCACAATTTAATGTTGAAAAAACACTTTATGTGTCCTTATTTTTGTCTGGAGGACAGCTGGTGGATTAAGCAAACACCCCGAAAACATGGATCTCATTAAAAGTCAGTATAGAGCACTCATTACATTCCAAACCTCCATAAAATGCCAGTGGTCAGCTTCATTCAAACATGGCTGTGTACTTGGGGCATTGTGGAGACTCCTATAATGGAAGATCATTTCATACAGCTAGTAGAAATTGCAGGCAGCTGACAGCTGAGGCAGATTCTGGCATGGAAATACTGCAGAGTCATCCACAAGCATTGAAGCACATACATGGTCTCCAGGACCAGGCAACCCCAAGCCCCAAACAACAAAAGGCCCCATTTCCATTAGGATCTGTGGCTGAGCAATGTTAACATAATAGTCTCATTTTAGGCTGTGAGACCTTTTATGTAAGGATTCAGCTACATTTTATGCCCACTTGGTTACGGCCCAAGTGATGAAATGTGTCCCCACCACAATGGCCCAACAAAAAATCATACAGTTTCAGCACTGTGTCCTCAACCATTAGCAGGCTAGTTCATGGAGATTATTGATCAAAGAGATGATGGCAATCATTTTCTGGGTCTCAAAGGTAATTGTGATGTCTGGCTACAGTATACGGTATGTTAAAGTCAAGCCATCAGTCAACCAAAACAGTCATCAGTCAAAGCTATACTGGTGCTTTACAACAACAACAAAAAAACATGCTATTGAAGAATGTGACTTGGATCTGCTGAAACTCACACTCTGCTGTCCAGACCTGGCCTTAGGTTACTCTTTTGAAATCTGAAGGGTAATCTTCATACTTCAGGGTTTGCAGATGTTGACAATGTAAATGCCTTCACTGAGACCCGTCTAGACTGAGAACCTGAAAACTTCTAATTTGCAGTCATATACAAGTGCAAAGAAGCGCTGGCCAAATATATTGAAGTTAATAGGGACAATGTTGACATGTGAGAACTTATAGCAAGAACAATCTTACATATGTTGTACTATGACTGCATTGACCCACACTAACACCATATTTCCTTAAAAACACTGAAATATGATCCTTACAGTGTTGCCTACAGAACAATGCCCCCTGTTTCTGTGGTGAGGCACTGATTTTATTTGCTTGGCACAAAAGGAAGAGTGCATCTTAATGGACCAGTAGTATTATTTTCCGCTTCTGTGACTCTTCTTTTAAAGTGTTCCATGCAAATGGCAGGTGAACCAAAGACTGTTCAGTTTATGAGTTTAGGTGATCAGAGCTTAAATATACTTTTCCCCCATGGCACCCTACTTGTTAAATTTAGAAATATCTATTATTAATGTAAAAAATCATTATTTCAGGTTTTAGCCTCTTAAGCCTCTTAGGCAGTGAGGCTTATTAAAGAAATTGTAGATTAAAGTGGTTGTATACCTCACAATTGGATGAGGCAGGTATTCATTTGTTTAATTATGTTGCCAGATTTTCACATGCTAATGTAGCATTTTATTCATCCATCACAGGGCACACATAGACACCAACACTCACACATACCCACCAGGGCAAATTTACCCAGAAACCAATTAACCTATGGGTATGTCTTTGGACTGTGGGGGGAAACTGGAGCACCTGGTGGAAACCCATGCAAACATGCTGAGAACATACCTTGCAAATGTTGTCTGCCATTGTCCTGAGAGAGCTGGAGTTTATCTGTTTGCTTGTTCTACAATCTTAAAACTAATTTCATGACAGTACTTTAGAAAGGAAAACAGTTCAGCTATTTCAATACACAAGTCTTGTGTACTAAAGTCAATTTATTATATTATATTAAAGTTATAATATGTACCATAGTGTTGTTTATAAACTGGTGTTACAGTTCAGTATACATTAGATAAAGGGTTAAATGTTTACGTCATTACCAGTTGCTACCAGCACACAGTGTAAATAATTTATGACCTTTGTAGTATTATTCCTTTGAAGGAACACTCCATGAATATTACATATATATTTATAGATCATACTAAGTTTAAAGTACTAACAAATAGATTGGTGTAGTTTTCATAAAAGTCTCTGTACTTGCTTTACAATGTCTCTGTCACACACATTTTAGAAATTAGTAAGTTAATTGTAATTAAGTGAAATTGATGTAGAAAGTTTATGAAAATTGTTGAGACTTTATTATTGTACTCATAAACTTTACTGCTTGCCATATTATTATGTAATGAAATAAAAATGATATAGAAATATTCATTGTGTGGAGACTGTAATTGAAACCATAGGAACATCTCTGATTACAGACATTATTATTTATGAAACCTGTTTAAAACCTAGAATAGACATCTAAATAAGTATATTGACTCCCAATAGGAGATACAGATAAAGGTCTTGAAATGCATTTTAGAGAGTCAAGCCTGTAACTTGCTATGGTATTTTTGGGATTACTTCAAACAACAATTGTGCCACTTTGATTCTTCAAAGACAGTCAGAATGTAGTCCCCCCGGTGGTTGCCAAAGTAGTAGATTCTGCAACTAACCATGTGAAAAGAGGTTCCCCTAGCTAATATGAAATCAACTGTTAATTATTAGAAAAAAAACATTAAAGCACAGAAGAATAACCCTTTCAGGCACATTTATGTATTGACAATACCAAAAACATACTGAACCGTGACAGTATATTGTTTCCTTGCATGTGGGGTTTTGGAATTTTATTGATAAAAAGGGAATATCTTGGTCAGAGAAAGAATATGTTGTCACGCTATTTTACAGCATACATACAATTTCAAATCAAGATTTTAACAAAGATGATTTTCACACTTATCTTTACCCAGGGGTTAACTATATTATTATAAACACTATAGTTTGTTCCATACTTCTACAACCCTTTGGGTAAAGGGGTGCCTGCTCCTCTCGGTTATAAATGCACTTTGGTTTTTCCACGTGTGTCCTCCAGTTCATGTTTCACAGCTCATTCTGAAGAAACCCTCTGAATGGACACATTTGCTGTTTATGATATTCGAAACAACCAACAAATGCGTTCAAACATCGTCCTCCCTCTTAACAACTTAATCATAAAAAACAGTTCTGAAGGGGCAGCTCATTTATGTTGTTCTTCTTTTACACACAAAAGACTAGGGCTGCCTCTCAGCTGCATGAAACCATTTTTTGCGGAGTCATAGAGAAACACAGACAGAGAGGTAATCGCTGTAATCCTAAGGTTGGGCAAATTGAAGAAAGGCAAACTCAGGGTTAACGCACTGAATCAATAATGTGGTTTCCGTGATGAAGCTTTCAGAAATAAAAATGGTTAGTCTCACAGTTCTTCTTGGTAAAAATATCAGCATTATCTGAAAGACTAACAAAGTTAATACAATGGACAACTGCAAGACTGAAAACAATCACAGCAACAACAATAACATTTTGTCCTACAGTATGGGACCCATGTTATCCATTACTAAAGTGCAGCATCCTCCTGAGTTTCAGAGTGATTATGCACCAACAGCCCCAATACACAAAAGTTCAGGTAGGGAAGATTTCAACAGCATTTGACTTGAGTACAAAATTTTTGGGAGGCCAAATAGTAAAAGCCTTGAGGAGAATTTAACTGGGACACTGATTAACACACATACACCAAAGCATGGGCCCAGAAGCACAAGAGATTAGCGGTAGTCCAATTAAAACTGAGTAAAAGAATCACTTCCTTACACAAATGGTGGTGGGTGTCTGGAACAATCTGTCCAATTATGGTGTTGGATCTCATTCCTTTGGATCTCTCATTAATGGCTATAGAGATCATTGGATCATTTATATACAAATAATCAAGTATGCACGTTTGGCAAACAGCCTTATCTCCTCTGTAACTTTTCTTCTGTTCATATGAAATATTTTAGGTGAAGTCCATACATTTTCAGATTAACTTGCGAAAAATAATTGCAGAGGTAAAAACAATTCTTATCCAACACTGGAAGACAAAACAATTTACTTTTCCAGAAAGTATTGATGGGAAATTATTTGTTAGAACCAAAACTATTTTGATATTTTTTTAATATTTATTCTGTTTGGTACCAGATACAAACTAGCCAGATGCCTGCTCTCATTTTATTTCAGAAACTAAGCAAGGGTGGGTCTGTCTGGGTGGCTGGCTTTTATAGGAAGCTGGAAGTGATACTGGCAGACTTGTAATGAGCACAGTTCCATCTGGATCAGAAATTTAAAAACAATTTTGCTGTATGGTACCCTCTTAGATGAAATTTTGAATATTGAATATCAGGCAAATCTGTCATGCTCTCTCCCAGCCTTGTCTGTTTATTCTCTCTTACAGCAGATTCTTGTCAATAAGCAGTTATAATAGAAGCACCCAGTGCCTATCTGTAAAATATTCCTCATCAAAATATTTATCTCAATTGCCTGACCACTTTACAGACTTGCAGTCTTCTACTTTTTTACATCTCAATACTGTTAAACTGTGAGACACTATCTTTTATCCATTTTTGTGCGTTTATATAAATGACAGTTCTAACAATATTTTGTGTCATTACAATTTTATATACTATAGGCCTGTTATCAACCATATATACTGAAAATAATGATTAGTAGTTCCAGATTATGAAATTGTGAACCTTTGTTGTGCAGGTTTTATTCTTTCGCTACAATGGCAACACTGTGAGGATTATGTTTTTTGAGTTCTCCAGTGCCTTCAACACTATCCAGCCCTTAATGCTAGGAAGGAAGCTGGAGGAGATGCAAGTGGGCGCCTCCATGATCTCATGGATCATCGACTATCTGACAGGCAGACCACAGTTTGTGAGACTCCAGAACTGTGTCTCCAAACAAGTAGTCAGATGACAGATCTTTCTCCATTCCTCTTCACCCTCTATATTTTGGACTTAAAATACAACTCAAAGTCGTGCCACCTGCAGAAGTTCTCAGACAACTCTGCAATTGTGCGATGTATCAAGGGTGGGCAGGAGGAAGAGTACAGAGGACTGGTCAACAGCTTTGTGGAGTGGTGTGGGGAGAACCACCTGCAAGTGAACGTGGCAAAGATGAAGGAGCTTGTGATAGATTTCAGAAGGAAAAGAGTCCAACTTACTCCTGTCTACATCCATGGGAGTGGCGTGGAGAGTGTGGACTCATACAAGTACCTGGGAGTGAACATCGACGATAAAATGGTCTAAGAACACTGAGGCCATCTACACGAAGGGCCAGAGCTGACTTTACTTCTTGAGGAGGCTTAGGTCCTTCAATGTCTGTAGTAAGATGGTATATATGTTCTATCAGTCGGTTGTGGCGAGCGTCATTTTCTACACGGTGGTATGCTGGGGCTCTGGGATTAGAGCAGGGAGTTCTAACAGGCTGAACAAGCTCATCAAAAGAGCAAGTTCTGTTATTGGGTCTGAACTGGACCCCTTGGAGGTAGTGGCTGAGAGGAGAATCATGTCCAAATTAATGGCCATTATGGACAATGTCTCCCATTCCCTCTATGACATTTTGTGAGAATGAAGAGCACGTTCAGCAATAGTCTGATCCAACCACGGTGCAAAAGGGAGTCATTGTTGCCTTCTGCCATAAGACTGTACAACTCATCCATTGTGAGTCTGGGCAGGGGCAACATTGACCTGTTTTTGGACTAAACGTAAAACTCTCTGCGTGCATCTGTTTTTTTCCTATTTACAACTGTTTTTGTACAGTATATGCTAGGGATTTGTGCAATATATTTATAATGTGCAATACAACTTTTTGTGTACTGTACTTTTGGGTCTGTTTTCTTGTATATTTTGTACTGTGAGCAAATCTGCATAATCCATTTTTTACTTTTACTGCACTTTTCACTGACTGTACTGACTGTATTGTATGTATTGTATTATTGTATCATTTCGTTACACTGTGCTTTGTTGACTGTGCTAAGCTGCTGTTGCACTGCAATTTCCCTCACCCGATCAATAAAGTATCAATCTGCATCTAGGTCTAGCAAAAATCATTTCAGTATTTTCTGAGTAGTTCAGTAAAAAAAAGAAGGTATTATTAAAAGGTAATAGACTCGACTAAACATGTTCGCTAACATATTTACCAATTGTTAGTTGTTGGTTTCGTGACTTATCTTAAGGTTTCCCCAAGTTCATTAAAATGGCAGAATCCCTGTGTGTGTCGTACAGAAATCAAACTGGAATCCAAAGCAATTAAGTGATAGAAAAAGAAGAAGTTATAGAAAGAGACAATGATTCTGTATTTGGATATAAGTAAACAGTAAAATACTTACTATTTTACAACTTTGTAACTCGCAACCACAAACTGTTTTTAAGGGTTTATAATAACTCGCAAATCAGTAACACGGGCTCAGATTCCGTTTGGTGTGTTTTTATTTTTAAAACATATTTATTTTTATTTTTGTACATTCCTAGGAAGATGTATAATACCTTAGTGATTAAGACACAAAGTCCAACAGTGTATTTTTTTACTTGCGTTAACAACTTTCAAAACCTTTTCCATGCAAAAATATTCTTCATACATTTCGTTGTTGCTGTTACCGTTAATTTTCTGTTTTCCAAATTTAAACAATTTGCATAGTGTTTTGTACAGCAAACATAGAACCAATCTGGCGTTGAGCTGAGAGCGGCGGGCAGGAGAAACAAAGAATTCGATCCTGTTGTAATTTCTGGGAAAGGGGGCAGTTGCTGGGTGAAGTGACGTCACGGCCTGTGTGTCACTCTCTGGCAGGCTGCGAGAGACTGACCTGGATCCACAGCTACGAGACCCAGTACATATCAAAACACAATCAAATTAAAGCCGAAAAACAGAAAACCAAATCCCGAAAACGTCCCCCCGTTTTCTGTAGAAGATTGCCAGTTGAAAGAGGAAGACGCAAAGCGGGATACGGAGCTGCATTGTAGAGAACAGCTACTTCTTTACATCCCGGAGAGGTTACTGTACAACCAGCACAGGAAAATAACTGCATAGCAGCCGCACCATTGTATGATAGGGGTTATTGACTAGGCCTGGCATTATCCCTTTTGGAGCAAAAGCAAGAGTGGAAGGTAAGGGATTCCCTTTTCTCGTTTAATCACGGGAATTGCGCTTCAGTCGAGGCGACGGTAGTCCACCCAGTGCGCGCGGTGCCGATTGCTCAAGTTCAGCAGAATCAGCCGCCGCTTCTTTTTACTGCTCTTATTAATCTTACTTATTTTCCACCGTGGCTTCAATAATTTGTTTCCTTTTGCGGGCATGTTTTCTAAAACGGGTCTAAATAGTCTTCGCTGAACTGCAATTCAATGTTTTGTAATTAGCGCCATCATGTAAACATTGACACGATACTGTGCAGGAAACCTGCGTGGTGGTTGTGGAGGTGAATCTGTAACCCCCAAATTGCAACTCGTTATTATCGTCTTGCCCGAGTTCATCAGTGATACCGTCTATCCTAACATTCGCAGCTACTGTTTTGTATTTTGCTAGATTTTTAGATTCTGGTCCGACACGATTGAGTGTAAAGTTCAGGCCTGGTGAGCCGATGTGATGAACTCGATTTGGAAAACATGTCTGGAATAGATTATTATTTAAACTGATACGGGGTTGAATCTAACGCTTCAAATTAGCTTGTATAGATATAACGGTAAGTGTTTTTTTCGAGTCAGTTCAGTGCATGTTAACTCCATTAGGCGCTACTACAATAACATGTTGTTAGTACAGTTTCAAATAGGAAATGCAAAACTAAACATCGAAGAGTAGTGCTTTCAAGTGTTGAACCCGTGATATTGCAGTTTTCATTTTCATTTCAGTTGAGCTCAAGCGACTGAGAATAGCGATGAATAGCGAGTAATGTTATAGTAGTATTTGTGCTGTATAATTAAACTGCCTGAGATCATTGTATTTCTTACGCCTATTGTTCACGTGTGATTGAGACACTGGAAGTGTTTTGCATTTCATGCTTCTGTTAAGTTACACATTAAGGTAGCCGTATCACAACAAAGCAATGATTCCATAACAATTTCTGTAAAGTCGAGATCTGTTCGGGTGTACTGAAGTAAATTCCTCCCAATTCCTTCTCATTTCTAAAGATGATTAGTGATTCGATTTACCTACATAGAAAAACAATAGAACAATCATCAGCTGAGCACTTCAATAAAATAACGAGAATCTGAATGAAATGCAGACTGTCTGGTATCGGAACGGAGTGTAAGAACAGCGAGGCACATTTCACAGTTGTCGCACATTTCCGATGCTTTTGTGTATTTGTAAAATGATTAGTGTATCATTTTTTTTAGCAGAATATCAGTAGCTTTTTGATGCTTTTATGCTGTAAGCAGGGCTGTCCGTCAGAAGTACGTACACACAAGCGTACAGTTTGTCAATGGATATAGTATTACACAAAATAATGTGGTGCTGATGACGCAGTGAACAATAACATTAATTTAAAAGTAATTTTTGAATTACAGGTTTAATGGGTCCATGACAGTTATAAATTCCATATTATGCTGGGTGTTCAGCATTTACCATGTGTGTGATTCTTCCTGCATGCTAAGAAATGAAATAAGAGTGCCTCGCAATATCTTAGATAAACGATCAAACAGCTATCATAAACGAGCGCCTCACGTGTTTTATTTTAAATGACACATTTGTGACAATAATGTGATTGTACTTAAACATGTACTTATATTCTTGCGCTTAAATGAGGTACTTTAAAAATGTTTGCGTGTAAGAATGACGTAGTTTTGTAGTTTGTGCTCTGAAAGCTATAGTTTGTAAGGCTGTCATCAGAACACAATGTATGGTAGCTGGTTAACAGGGAGTTCAAAGTGTTTGGAGTTTGGATGGCTAATTCATGATGCAGTGCACCCGTTGAATGGGTCAAGAAATGTGTCCATATACTGTAATAAAATTAGATATTGCATGAATGCCACGATGCAGAATCGTGTTATACCTTAAGGTACACGAGTTTTAAAACATCAGGATCAGTGCAATCACAGAATAATCCTTCAAATAACTAGGCTGTATCAATAAAAGCACTACATTAATGAAATACTTGCATTTGCGCATTGTTTTTAATCTTAAAAGATTTTCAAAATGTTTCACATGTATAAGTGGGATCTACTTCACCCACTACTGAAATGCAGCACCTACCTACTACAGAGGTGCAGTACTTTGTCTTTACAATGAATTTCTGGACTTAAATTAGAAGAGTACAGACATTTTTTTATGCACACTTTATTTCTTTAGACAGTGTTGTATCTACTGTATTCTCCACATCCTTATAATACTTACTATAACCAAATTTACTTGCTTAGTGCCTTTTCTATGATAGAAAATAAGAAAAGTACTTTGTTGGTGTATAGAGTGAAACAGACGTGCAATCTTGAGCAAAGAAATAGCTGAAAAAAAGATATGGGGCATAATGCAGTTTCAAACACTTACACAAAGCTTGTACCTTTACAAATACTGTTATCTTGTATCATTTAAAAAAATTGGATTTTTGATTATTTTGTGTTTAGCCCTGACAACCAATGTTTGTTCTGTATTAATAATTCTGTTAATTAATCTTGATAGCACACAACAAGGATAGTACCTGGAGTTTACTGCACAATTATAAATATATCGGGACAAAGGCTAATGCAGATTCCGGTGTTTTTGTAGTACCTTCAAACTAAAAAATCAGGAACATTCATGTAGACATTTTTTATTAAACATTCAAAATTGTTCCCACAGTACAATACAATATCTGATGCTTATGGAGCTCAAACAAATGTGTTGATCTCGCAAACTAATATTCTAATAATGCCCCAGGAAAAAAATTGGCGTAGCGGAAATTTATGTAGCCTTCATTTTTAAACTGGGTACAATGATGGGACAGAAATGTATTTAAAAAAAGGCAAATGTCAACACCGCCTCTCTGACAGCTATGAAATTTCCTTCCAATCCTTTTATGGGTCTAATTTATGAAAATATTGCTGTGTCTTCATAATTGGCATAAATGACAGGATACATCAGGATAATAGTGAATTTATGAGGAAAGCAAAGTGAAGTAGCCCTGTCTTATCAGGAAGTGAGCTTCATCATTAATTCCCTTTGTTGGTTGTGTTTTCCAAAAGGGTTGTATCTGTAGGTACAGGGAATCACTGGTATCGTTCTCATATTCGTGAAGATCTAACATGTTGTTGCCTCACCTGTTAGGATATTTTCACGCCCAGTTTGGTTTGGGTGTTTGACGTGTAGTGACATTGGGAGTTAAGTGTGCAAATTCGGACAGAGATGTCTCCACAACGGGATTCATGTCAAGCCAAAGCAGCTGAAAATGTTTTTGTGGTTTGTTTGAAAGGGTGCTGTGTGTTTTCACCACTTTGGTGGTTTTCAGTTTTGGGCGACGTGGAACCAAAATGCATTCTAGTTCTGTGGAGTTCCCATTTTTAAGCAGAACAACAGAACAAGTAGACATTCAAAACAGTTTATTAATAATTTAAACATCTTAAATAATTTCCTGGATTAATAACTATCATGATCCCCTGTTAAGGACTTATTGTAAGGACTCTTGTAGTTAGATATCAGGGTTAGCAGGAATCACCGCCTCTGTAATATTTGTATTTGTCTTGTCTCAAAGCCTCCTTCTCTTCTGCAGATGTTCATTAATTTTCTCCAGAAGCACAGTCGTTTTGAAAAGTATGAAAAGTCCTCTTGGTATACTCCCCTTCTTGTGCAGCTGTTTGTTGGAAGCATCAGATAGACCAACGATGCACCAGAGCACTGTGCGTATTCAAGTTGGTAGCTGCGTCAGCATGTGTAGGCTGTATAGGAACATGTTAAAGGTTTATTTCTTGCTGAAATGGAGCATGGAATAAACCTTTTACTTGTTCCTTTGCACTGTATGTGTTCTCTACGGTAGAGAAACAGATCTTTCACCCCTGTAAAGAGAGTGAGAGCTGATTGCTTTTGGAGAAGTATGATACTGTATGAAGCCAGTAGAATTCTGCTCTGCGAAAAGGTGCAAGCGAAGTCAGCAGATAAACATGAACTAGTTTTTTTGAGAAACTGGAGCGTGTTTGAATTATCCTGGTGTGACACAATCTAAATGTAAAGTTAAAACAAAATTATATAAGAGAACCACTGTTTGACTCAGTTGGAATTGAACTAGGTGCCAACATGGCTTGTTTTATTAAGCGTTGGTAGTAAGTAGTATTTACAGCTGTAAAAAAGGTGGGCTTCTGTCATTATTCTGCAGCGTTAAGTATCTCCAGGGCCCTGATTGAAGATTTCCTTGGGGGGGAATCGATAGGGATGAAATATTGTTCCTAATAATGTCTGCTTTAAATTAATGATGCTTACATGTGCAAAGCTGGGTACTGAGGACAAGATAAGACCTATAAGACCTGTGATATATTTCACAAGGCTTTAAAATCACATACAAACATCCCAAAAAATAGTGCTTAGAAATTCAGAGGTGGTAGCATGTGCAGTGTTACAGTAACGCCCTGAGCAGGTGTCTGAATTAATGCTGCTTGTTGCATCTTAAACAATGCAGTTGATGTTTTAGCTGTGAACCTTTGTTTTCTCAGCCTGAAAAACACCATCAGCACTTGGCCTGTGCATCCCCTTTCAATGATGTCCCATTCTGGTGAATCACAAATGATATATACACATCCTTTAAAATGAATATTTGTAAGCAAAACGTTAATGTTCAAATTTAACTTTTCACCCACAGAAGTGTTCAATGTCAGTAAAAACCTCCAAAGAAAGATCCAAAACTAAGATGTGTGGAGTGCATACAGTATGTATTCTCCCACTTTTTTATAGCAAGCCAAACTTTCCAGGTGCACAGAAATACTTTGTCAAGTCACCTTGACACATAGTTGTGATTCTGTCTACCTGCCTTGCAATAATGTTTTAAATTATTTCAGAATGAATACTACTGCATCTCTGTAAGGGCCCTCTGTCTGGTATTGAATTCCAAGCAAAAATTCAACATTGAAGACCAAGGAGCTTTCAACACAATGTAGGGATAAAACTGTAGAAAGGCACAGATTGGGGAAAAGGGAAAGTGATACCTTTGAGC